TATATCAGATATGGCAAACTTAGGGAAAATCATAACGAAAATGTGCAATGAACATAAACGATGAGCCATTAAAAACTCTAACGTGTGCGAGACAAAAATGAACTGAAGTGCTATCGTTTTCGACACAAGTCTACATGACAGCACGACTGTCAATTTGAATTTAATCGTGGGATTTTAAGATTTGCTCTCTTGATTGACACATCGTAGCTTGTTTTGTGATGGCGTGTGCTCACTGTTATAGCTGTCACAGTAAGCCAGGAGAACCTGTAAGAATATCTAGCGCTCCACAAGTGACCGTCCAAGTGATATTAAAAAGGACATTTAGTAAAAAGACTAAACAGATTTCGTAATGAATCTGGTCAAACACCACACCTCCGATTATACTACAGTGCTCAATATTGTATGACAAGTGTTTTGGGCTTTGATTGGAGGACAGCGAGGTCAGCGGGAAATAAGAGTCCTTGCTTTGTTTTTTGTTAGAACGGAGAGATCGCCATGCTGGGAGAGATCACCCACCTGCAGGCCATCATTGATGACCTCACTGTGCTGACGACCGATCCTCACAAACTGCCCCCAGCTAGTGAACAGGTAAACACACACATCAAAGAACATAGAAAAGAAAGATGAAAATAAAAAAAGAAACTAAGGCGGATCGATCAATCAATCAATCAATCAATCAATCAATCTCTCTCTCTCTCTCTCCTCAGGTGATTAAGGATCTGAAGGGGTCCGATTACAGCTGGTCCTATCAGACCCCTCCTTCGTCCCCGAGCAGCTCCTGCTCCCGCAAGAGCAGCATGTGCAGGTACTCGCACGCAAACACACACACACGCACACAGACACCTTACGCCCGCTGTTGCAGGGTGCTTTTCATGATTTAAGAAAGAGGAGCCTTCACCGATTTTGTCTGTTTCACCGTGACTGTTCAGCCCGTCCGTCCGTCTGTCTGTCTGCGTGTCAGTCCATCATTACTGCGTCGCTCAAGTCACCTTCTGAAACATTCTGTAGAACTACGTAGATTTTCCACATGAACGGCTGCGCCAAAGATGACGAAAGGTATCGAATTTTTTGCATAAATGAGTGTCAGCATTCTTTAGGCGCAGATGCGTCCAATACTCCCATTCAGAATCTATGAATAAGAAAATGAATACTACAAGAGTAAGAGCGTAAACTAGACGTGTATTTCTGTAGTTCTTTGTCTGAGAAGCGTCACTCCCCGTCAGTGTTTGCATGTAGTAGCAGTCGCCCTCAAGGCGACGCTCTAAAGCATGCAAGATCACAGCCTCTTTGCCTGCAGTGTTTTGTGTGTGTGTGTGTGTGTGTGTGTGTGTGTGTGCTCCGGATCCACATAAGCTTACACACTCTGTCTCCCCCCTCCTCCCTCTCCTGCCCTTTCCTCTCCCCCCCTTTTCCCTCACCATAACCGTCATTCTCTGTACTTGTTTCTTTCTCCACTTGTCTGTCTTTTATTTATTTATTTTTTTGCTTCTTGTTTGCGTGCAATCCTGTGATTGGTTGATTTGCCCTCTTTCTCTCGGTTATGTGATTTACCCTCTCTCTCTCTCTCTCGGTTTCTTTGCTTACTTGGTTTCCTTTTCTCTTTTCCGGGGGTCTCCGCTTTTTTAACTGTGACTCGTGTGTGACTTTGATGCGTCTGCTGAACCAACAACTTGCTATGAACTACTCCTGAACCTCACCTCATCATGCACACTAATCACAAAACCCCTCCATCACAACCCTCCAATCATCAATTTCATCATCTTTGCCAAAAACCAACCCCTCATATCTTACAAATTTTCTGTCAACTTCCTCCCCTTGAATGGACTCAACACGTCCCGGTCATCGTGCTCCATCCCTCTAAATACTGATGGCAATCGTCACCTTCATCCTCCCATCACACTCCTCACCCTTCCATCATTCCTACACCCCCTCCCTGCTCTTCTGCACCTTCCTCCTCCTGCAGCAGTGTCAACAGCGCCCACAGTAGCGCCTCCCGTTCATCGGGGGGGAGGCGGCGGGGTTGGTGGAGGTGGTGGAGGCTCGCTGCCCCACTCTCCCACCTCATCCTCCTCCTCCTCCTCCTATCGCTACCGCAGCAGCCTGCCGCATCAGCCTCTGCCACCGGGGGGCATTGCCGCCCACCGCCTCAGCAGCGTCTCCTCCCACGATTCGGGCTTTGTGTCCCAGGATGCCAACATCTACTCCAAGCCCCCCTCGCCCATGCCCTCGGACATCACTAGCCAGGTAAATCACTGTTTTTTGTGCATGTTGAAAAAAACAAAAAGAAAAGTATATTTAAGCTTTTCACACTTGATGCTCACTTACACAAACGGTTTTTTTAATGTGTGTTTTTTTCTGTTTTCCCGCTGTAGAAGTCATCCAGCTCCGCATCGTCAGAGGCCTCAGAAACATGCCAGTCAGTCAGTGAATGCAGCTCCCCCACCACCGTAAGTACTCTTATTCATACTGTACAATAAGCAGTCCCACGCAGCATAGCACTCAAACCAAATGAAGAAGTTAAAAGCAATGAAAGTGTGGCACAAATAGAGGAAGTACAGGTACAGTTTGGTATCAGTTCAACTAGTCGGAGCTTTAAATATGTTTATTTCACAACAAAGGCCAATAAATGAACAAATGCCCATATTTACCAGCCTGGCAGATTTAATCAAAAACACCGATGAGTCCAGCTGTCTCTGAAGGGAGTGTCTCCTAAACCCCTTAATGCTTCAGTCATGTTGGCTGTGTTAATGCATACAGTGGCAACAGTGGCATTTTTAAATTTTTTAAATTGGAGTTTTGGAAGTTCAACCTCAGCTCCTGCAATAAGACCTGTAAGGACAAAAATATTCCCATTAAAACCACAATGTTTGCTCCAACGGACATTACAGCATGAAATCATGCATTCTATTATGTCAGGCTTTCAAAATTGTAGTTTTTACAATTTTCCAGCACATTGAGTCATTTTCTCTCATGTTTGCCATATGGGGCTAGTACATGATATTCTCCTGATTTCCTCTAGGGGCGCTGCTGCTGTATTATGGAGCACTGCATTGTTTAATGCAACATATCAAAATCAGTGTTGCTGTGAATCATTGACAGATTCCAGACTGCAAAAAAACCTCTCTTGCCTTTAGTATACAGAAAATATTAAATTTTTTGTTTTTTTATATTGATAAAAACAGTGGCATTATGTAAACACACTGGCATTTAAAGGATTCAAATTATGAAAATGACTGAGTATTTGGTGCTGGTGATAGAGACTGAAGTTGGTTAAAAGATTTGAGTGAAAGTGGAAAATAACGTAAATACATAATTTGATGACATTTTTGGACATCAGAGCACCTTTTTGTTCAGTGAGGCACAAGGTTAAGTTTAGAATTTTGAATTGTGTCCAGAAACTTCATTTGGGCATCAAACAGATGAGACAATCGACTCTGTTGCAGCCCCACAATGTGACCTAAAGGGTCTTTATCCCTCCATCCATCAGTGCCCATTAAAAGTCCAAAGCCTCTGATGTCTTTGCCATGGTCAGAGGATACTGCCATCTGTTCGGCAGCAAGTTTGCTCATCAACCCAAATTGGTCTCTTAGTGATTTCAGGGAATCCATTAAAACAGCTTGCAGATACAACTTTACTTTACTTCACACATTTCCATTTACTTTTTTTTTTCTGGTGGAAGAACCTTCATTTCTGGTAAAAAAAAAAGAGGGACTATTGTTCAAACAACTGTGCTGATTGTGGTCGTATAAAAATCATTATAGGACAGAACTACAGCACGCATGCTGTTTAAAATGATAAGGTACGTGGACCAAAGGTTGCAGGAGTTTTGTGTTAAAAGTTTAATGGATTTTTGAAACCAGTGGGAGACATCTGGATAGTCAGGCAAACCTGCAGCCGAACAGACAGCAGCAGCTCTCTGTGGGTTGAATGGGCTCTCTAGCAGAGAATGCTTTTTGGTGGTACATCAAGCACCGTCAAATCTACTGCCTTCGACCTGCGAGAGAACAATGACTGACAAGCGCACCTCAGACATGAGGTTTTTGTTGAATAAATGTATTTTCATGCTTTCTCGATAAACAATATTTTATTGCATGAATTAGACTCAAAGGATGATGATTTTGTTTTGCAGACACACGGTGCAAAGTGGAGTCCTCCTGAGCACAAAGAGAATATTTTCTTTCCCTACTTATGTTCCGTATATTGCTGTATGTATATTGGTGGCTCGCCCCAGCGGAGTGTCACTGGCAATTTAGCGACACTTACAATGCCTTGTGCCCCCCCCCCCCCCGCTCACCAACTCAGATCAGGTCAACAGAAAACGCATTGCACTGAACGCTTGTATTCTGTGCTGTTTTCAACACTTCAGCTGCTGCAGGCGCACTCACATAAAACCTCTCCAAAAATCACAGATTCTTTTTTATTTATGCTTGAGAGCTTGTCTCTTTCCTTCTTTATTATGCATCCTTTGACCAGTACGCACATCTGTCTGCAACACGAATACAATTCAAATGATGCTCGCGAGGCAAAGTAAATATTCATGTCGCATTTTTTTTAGGCAGCACCTGTCATCCGCAACAGCTTGCGCAAATGACTGCCCTCCCTTTCGGTTGATTAACGCCCTTTACAACCATCTGATTGTGTGTGTGTGATATGTCTCCAGTTCAAGTGGCGCGCATCGTGGAGATGGATCACGTGCACCACAGCCACTGGTTAGCTTGATTAAATCTCACACCACCATGAGGACAAAACAATAACACAAACTTCTTTTCTCCTCTGCACAGGCAACTTGTTGGTTGTATCCGGGTATTATAAGTTCTCTACTCCTAACATAATTGAAACATCTCATATCAGTTTCAACAGCTGCCATCTCTCTGTATCCGTATCAAACAGCATCTGCCTGTGACAAAAGCAGAGCTAGCAGTAATTATAACAACATGGTGTGATGGCTGTGCTCTGTGTTGGTTTAAGTTTCATCTCTATAACCGTGTAAAGACTTAAACAGGCTTGGTAGTTTTGGAGTTCAGATAAAATAAGATAATCCTTTATTAGTTCCACAGCGGGGACATTTGCAGGATTACAGCAGAGGAGTGGATAGTGCAAACGAACAAACAAGAGACATAAGTTGAAAAACAAGATCAAAACAAGTATAATAAATAATGAATCACATTAAAGGAATAATAAATAAGTAAAAACAACAAAAAATAAAATATGATATTCTGTTTATATTGCACATGTTGAATTGTCAGTTTTTGGTATGTTACTTTTGTTACTTTTGGTCACTTTTTCATTTAGACAATACCAAGTATAACTGAGTACCAACATTTAAAGCTAGGTTTGGTAATGTAGGAGAAACTAGCAAGAGTGCAATAGATACAGAAATAAAAAAAAACCTAAAACCCAGCCCAGTGTTGCCAAGTCTTTCCTAATTAAAATCTTTCCCAATTAAAGCAGCTGGCACTAGCTCTAAAAAAAAATCGCTAAATCTAGCGAGAGTCACCAAGTCGGCAACAGTAATCCCTCAAAGCTTCTTCTGCAAAACTATCACTATGAATGTAAACTAAGAACACGGCTTTTATTAATACTCACATCTGTGTTGGCATCTTGTGGATCACTCTGGTGACGTGAAACGAGGTCTCGAGCAGAGGGCGATCAGGTAGCCCATTCAATCATCATATTCGGCTTAAATGTATTAAACGGGATTATTAGAGTCCTGCAACAGCCACAGGTACCGCATCTGTTTCTGTCAGAGCATTTGATTTAATGATTGCCGTCAGAATTTAAAGGGAATTTCAGAGAAAACAGACAAAAAAACTGTTTTCTGATGAAGATTACCAACCATAGGTTTAAGTGAAAGGAAAACAATTCTATTCTGAGCAGAACTTTGACTCAAAGGGCTGTCGGCCCCATTCCCAGTACCACTACTACCACTAGCCTGTTTGTGATTGTCCAATCTACAGCGTGGGGGACAGTCCCCGAGTGATTCTCATTGATAGCCAAAATACTCAGATGATAAAGCATACATTTCACCTTCTTGTGGCTCGCCTGTTTCTTTTTGAAAGTGGAATTGGCTCATCGCTGCCCCTTGTGGCTGAGAAAAAACACATTATATGAATGCAGCTGTTGCTGCAGAAGGTCCATCCTCAGACCTCAGTGGGGCAGCAATGAGGCGAAGAAGACGCAGCACTCAAACACGTACTTAGATCAGTTTTACAGGAGAAAACACTGAAAGGATAAAGGTCAACTTCCCCACCTCTGATAAAGAGCAGTGCACAGACGCTGCTCTAAGCTTTTCTTTATAGCGACAATCCAAGACTGTCTTTTACATTTTGGATCCGAAACACGGCTCCACCAGTAATAAAATGAGCACATTAGAAAAAAAGGTTTTTCATCTAGTTACCATCGTCTAATTCTGTGCTACTGCACTGAAGTTGTAACTGTCAAAAACCAAATACGTCTGGTTTTTGAATGCCTGTGCTTTAACACACATTACATTGCCTTTCTAACAGATGTATAAAGTAGCTGTGAGCTGTAGGCTTTCTAGAAATCACTGACTTAGTTCTTCTAGTCATCTTTGATGCATGGACAGCAGCCACTCGAGGCCTCTTCTATTCTAAACCTGCTGCTTATCTCTTCCACATCAGTGCTGCTTATCTCGTCCTCATCAGTTTCACACTGAGGACTTGGTGTGTGAGTGTGTATGGTGCAGTAGGTGTGTGTGCATACTTGTGTTGCTTTTATTCTCCTGAGTTGGGCCGAGGGATCCTCCACCTCACCACGGTCTCCGTGTGCCTCTCTCGGTCGCTGTCTTTGTCTTCCTCTGACGACGTGACTGTGTCTCTCATCCCGCAGTTTGGCTCGTCCTTCGCTACCTTCCGCCCCACTCTCTCTCACTCTGGCTCCACCAGGCCTCTCTCTGTCATTCTTCCTGTTCCTGAGTCCCCACCCTATAACTGCCCCCCCCGGATCCAGCTCCTCCTCTCCCACATCAAAGGTTCCTATCTGGAAGGTTTGTTTCTCCATTAGCTTCCATTTCTTCAGTTGTACCATTTTCCTTCTGTTTCTGTTTAATACGTTTCAGTTATTGCATTTTTTTTAACTTTTCATTTTCAACACCTGATTAATTAATTCATAACCACATTGCTTCACTTCCTTAAAGTGTTCATCCCCACCTGCTGTTTGTGCATGCATTCTTTTCTTTCTTTTTTTTCGGCCCCCCCCTGGCTCACTCAGCAGGGTTTGGGGAGCTGACCAATCGAACTCATCAATATAAACACATTCAAACACTCCAAAAAACCCCTGGCCACACACACAAGCAACCCACGCACAATCCCACCCCGTAAAGGCCCCCTCTCTCTGCACTCAGATGAAGGGCTTCAAACTGCTGGATAGTGGACAAGTCTCTCCTGCTAATCCCACCTAGCTACTTCCTGTGTATTAATTTGACTCGCCCCTTCAGGATTGGTCCAAAGCAGGTCAGTACGAGCAGCCGGTGGCTGCGGC